TGGTCAGTTGTGTGATTCTGTAGTTTTAGAGGTAGAGCATTTATAGGTTATGAAAATACCCGAGCTGTAGCCATGATGTGAAGTTCATAAACTTCATGTGTTCATAAACAGATCACTGAAAATGAGTTCATGGAAATAAGTCCTATGATCTCAAAAGGATTGTCCATGTTGATATGATAAGGAGTGAAGGCAGGGCTTGCAGTGGAGAGAAAGAGTGTGGGGCAGGCATTAACAGATGGGAACAATGAAAGAAGGGCTGGTAAAGTAGAAGAAACAGGAGAGGAAGAATGCTTTGAAAGCCAAAAGGAGCAGGTCTTAAAGGAGCTTTGTAGGTTTGCAAAAAGCTGCAGGAAACATGGTTTAGAAATGGCCATCGTGGGTATGGAAACTCATTGCCAGACCCTGATATATGAATACTTGCCATTTGAGTAGTGTAGGGGAGGCCATGTCCTCAGAGAAGAGCCCCAGGTATCAGGAGGGAGAAACTCAGAGGAGATATTGAAGACACAGGGGAATTTGCTATTTATGGATGGGCAACAAGAGGTCATAGTGGAGTGGAGAGTGGTGGGAGCAGGTCAGGAACAAGGTAGTAGTACAGAGCTTTGTGAAGATAATGGTATAGATCGGGGTCCCTGCTGTGTATTTGAGAAGTAGGTGAATTCAAGTTTTCATGTTGACTGAAGGAAACAGATGGAGAAGGCAGTGACACCCCACTCCAGTACTCTTGCCTGGAAAATCCCATGGACAGAGGAGCCTGGTGGGCTGCAGTCCATGGGGTCGCAGAATCAGACACGACTGAGCGACTTCACTTTCACTTTTTACTTTCATGCATTAGAGAAGGAAATGGGAGCCCACTCCAGTGTTCTTGCCTGGAGAATCCCAGGGACGGCAGAGCCTGGTGGGCTGCCATCTCTGGGGTCGCACAGAGTCGGACATGACTTGAAGTGACTTAGCAGCAGCAGCAGCAGAAGGAAACAGAAAAGAAGGCAGGAGGATTTATTCCGATGGTCTCTGAGGAGTAGGGCCCTTGCATAACTATTTAACATCAGCTATAAGTTCACTGAAGATGTATCTCGCTTGGTGAAGTAATTGAGGCTTATATACTGCACATGCTGAATTATTATTTTAACATATTTTTGCTTTTTATTGTCAGTATATCATTGGGATTATTTTTGCATCTGTTGTTGTTCGGTTACTAAGTCATGTCTGACTCTTTGCGACCCCATGGACTGCAGCACACCAGGCTTCCCTGTCTTTCACTGTCTCCCGGAGTTTGCTTAGATTCATGTCCACTGAATTGATGATGCTATCTAACCATCTCATCCTCTGCCACCCCCTTCTCCTTCTGCCTTCACTCTTTCTCAGCATCAGGGTCTTTTCCAATGAGTCGGCACTTTGCATCAGGTGGCCAAAGTATGGAAGTTTCAACTTCAGTCCTTCCAATGAATAATCAGGATTGATTTCCTTTAGGATTGACTGGTTTGATCTTCTTGCTGTCCAAGGGACTCTCAAGAGTCTTCTCTAGCACCACAATTTGAAAGCATCAATTCTTTGGCACTCAGCCATCTTAATCGTCCAACTCTCACATCCGTACATGACCGCTGGAAAAACCATAGCTTTAACTACATGGACCTTTGTTGGCAAAGTGATGTCTCTGCTTTTTAACATGCTGTCTAGTTTTGTCATAGCTTTTCTTCCAAGGAGCAAGCATCTTTTAATTTCATTGCTACAGTAACCATCTGCAGTGATTTTGGAGCCCAAGAAAATAAAATCTGTCACTGTTTCCACATTTTCCCCTACTTCCCCTTTCTGTTTGCCATGAAGTAATGGGACCAGATACCGCAGTCTTAGTTTTTTGAATGTTGAGTTTTAAGCCAGCTCTTTTATTACTCTATTCTTTCACCTTCATTAAGAGGCTCTTCAGTTTCTCTTTGCTTTCTGCCATTGGAGTGGTATCATCTACGTATTTGAGGTTGTTGATATTTCTCCCCGTAATCTTGATTCCAGTTTGTAAATCATCCAGCTGAGCCCTTTGCCAGATGTACTCTACATAGAAGTTAAATAAGCAGGGTGACAATATACAGCCTTGATGTACTCCTTTCCCAATTTGGAATCAGTCCATTGTTCCATATCCAGTTGGAACTGTTACTTCTTGAACTGCATACAGGTTTCTCAGGAGACAGGTAAAGTGGTCTGGTATTCCGAACTCTTTAAGAAATTTCCAGTTTGTTGTGATGCACACAGTCAAAGGCCTTTGCATAGTCAATGAAGCAGAAGTAGATGCTTTTCTAGAATTCTCTTGCTTTCTCTATGATCTAATGACTTTTGGCAATTTGATCTCTAGTTCCTTTGCCTTTTCTAAATCCAGCTTATACATCTGGAAGTTCTCGATTCAAGTACTGCTGAAGCCTAGCTTGAAAGATTTTGAGCATTACCTTGCTAGCATATGAAATGAACACAATTATGTGGTAGTTTGAACATTCTTTGGCATTGCCCTTCTTTGAATTAGAATGAAAACTGACCTTTTCCAGTCCTGTGGCCACTGCTGAGTTTTCCAAATTTGCTGACATACTGGGTGCAGCACTACAACAATATCAGTTTTTAAGATTTTAAATAGCCCAGCTGGAATGCTATCACCTGCCCTAGCTTTGTCTATAGTAATGCTTCCTATAGCCTACTTGACTTCACACTCCAGGATGTCTGGCTCTAGCTGACTGACCACACCATCTTGGTTATCTGGGTCATTAAGACCTTTTTTGTATAGGTCTTCTGTTGTGAATTCTCCACCAGGGAAGCCCGTTGCATCTGATTATTATTATTTATTTAATAATTATATTACAGAGGCATTGGGTTATAATAATTTTCATTCTCTGTGTATCTGTTTTTATGTATATGTGTGTGTATTGTCAGGTTTTAGTATGAGGATTGTGGTAGATTTGTAGAAATAAAGACATGTCCATTGTTTTCCATGCTCTGGGACTCTTAGCACAGACATTATCTGTTCTTTGTAAGCTGCGAAGAACTTTGTCATAAAATTCTCTGAATGTGTGCTATCTAATATGGTATAATAAGCACCTGGAATGTGGTTAATATGACTGAGGAACTGAACTTTTAAATTTTGTCTTTATTTTAAATTTAATTTCTCATTAAAAATTGATACTTATCTTCAGTGTTGCAGTCTTTTAAGGACAACCTGGTTATGAGTCTATGTTTTGTAGATTATGTAAAGTCAAAATATACAGATGAAGTATTTCTAATGAAAATTTATCAACCAGATTGAAATATATTTTAAATATAAAACATATCTTGGATTTTAAAGACTAAATATGAAAAAAAGTAAAATTAAAAACTTTTATGTTGATTTTATGTTGACATGATAATCTTTTACCATGGCCACCTATATTGATAAATAAAACATGTCATTAAAATTAATTTTACTGTTTTATACTTTTATGCTTTTAGTGTAGGTATTAGAAAACTTAAAATTATTAATGTGGCTTGCATTTGTGACAGGCATTTTATTTCTATTAGACAGCATGGTTCTGAACCATGAGCTTTCCTAAACGGTTAGTAAAACTTCCTTAGTTTCTCACAGAATTACTGGTTCATTCAATTTTCCTATATCTCCAGAATAAATTTTGATCATTTTTATTTTCCTAAAAAGTATTTGTTTCAAATGTATGAATGTAGTACTTTACAAATATTTTCTTGCTCCCTCCCTCCCTTTTTTTTGGTAATGGTAAATGGTAGATCAGCTCTGGGATATATTAATAAGTTCTGTTTTTGTGATTTTTAATTAATTTTATATCTGCTTTGATTTATTGATTCAAAAATATTTTTGGAATCAGTTTACTTTTTCTTATTTGTAGGAATTACATTTTTCATTTTCTCTTCTGATAAAAATCCCTATTTTTTATAAAAAGATATCATCAAAGAATAGAGAAGTCAGTATTTATTTTATTTCTATTCCACAAACTTTCCTGCACAATATTGTCTTGCTTCTAATTGATTAGAGACATTTTATATAAGTATTTTCAATATTGCATGTTCTATGAAACATTTATTTTCACTAATGTGAAAATATTTCAAAATAATGTTTATTGCATACAACAGGTTATTTTGTTCACATATATTTCATTTTTCCTTGTCCTTTCTTGCTTTACAATCCACTTTTGTAGAGAAAGCAATCACACTCTACTTAAAAAGAATAAACAGTAGAAAATAACATATTTAGCATTTAGCATGTTCCAGGGATGTGCTAACTTCTTAATTAAAATTAAGAATATTTGATATTCACAGTCACTTTGTGAAGTATGTACTGATGTTAGCCTCAGTTTGCAGATGGGAAAACCAGACCAAGAGGGACTGAGACCCATCCCAGGTTTCTTGGAGTCTATTGCACATGGACTCATAAGCCCCAAGTGAGAAATCATTCTGTTAGTGTTTCATGCACAATACTAGAAAATATGGCAGACCTCTTTACAATGGATGTCTAGCATCAGAACATCAACATAGTTCATGCTAAGATCCTGTTGTCAGGCAGTTATCACATGCAGTTATATTCAGTGTTAATAAACTGCCCTACAATGTACTCCTGTTGTGCTCTGGGCTTGGGTTCCCTATAATAGCCTAACAAAAATCTCTCATTCATTAGCACTGAGGTGCTTTCTGTAAACAATTGTTTCCCTTAATCATTTCGGGGTAGGGGGTGGAAATAGACATCAATTATCCATTTTTAATACCCTGTATCTTCAAATTAGAATTTTTGAAGTCTTACTTATATCTATAGAATGGCAGAAAAGGAGAAATTTCACGCAGTTTATTTCTTTGGACAAGCAAAGACAAATCTCTGTCTTTACCCCTAATCTGTATGCCATTTGGTGTCAAATACCCTTTAAAATTAGTTCAGCTATGGTATAGTCCCTTAAAAAATTTAGATATTTAACAACAAATGGCTATGGTTCATTCACTTATGATTCTTTTCTTTCTTTCTTTTAAAGATAGTGTTTTTGGAAGAAGCATCCCAACAAGAAAAGCTGGCCAAAGAATGGTGCTTCAAGCCGTGTGAAATAAGAGAACTGAGCCACCAGTAAGTCAGAATTAACTTCTTCCCTTTTACTTGATGCTATTAACTAGTCTCAAATGCTAAGAACCTGTCTTGAGAGACAGAGAGGTCTTTCTCTTTTTTTGAGTATGAACTGGGCAAGAGAAGTTAGCTAGAGAACATGGAGCTGAAAGATGGAAACTTTGAGAACTAGAGGCTGCCATCATTCATTTACTTCTTCAGCAAATATTTATTGTATTTATTACGTGCAAGAATAGGATCTGGAGGTGAAAATGATATACAGAGTATTGGTCCTTACTGGGCTTATGGCCCATGGTGAAGAGAGAGCATAAACAAGTGCACAGATAGGTAAGCATGACAGTGATGCCTTCTGTAAAGGAAGTGATTAGGGAGCATGATAGAGATAAACTAGTGGGAGGTGAGAGGAGGTTTAGGGAGGAAAACTCTGACAGCGTGCATAAGGAAGTTGTTATTCAATCTCTCAGTAATGTCTAACTCTTTGTGATCGCTTGGACAGTAGCACACCAGGCCTCCCTGTTCTTCACCATCTCCCAGAGTTTGCTCTAACTCATGTCCATTGAGTTGGTGATGGCATCCAACCATCTCATCCTCTGTCATCCCCTTCTCCTCCTGCCTTCAGTCTTTCTGAACATTAGCATCTTTTCCAATGAGTCAGCGCTTCACATCAGGTGGCCAAATTATTGGAGCTTCAGCTTTAGCATCAGTCCTTCCAATGTATATTCAGGGTTGATTTCCTTTAGGATTGACTGGTTTGATCTCATTGCAATCCAAGAGACTCTCAAGAGTCTTCTCCAGCACCACAGCTTAAAAGCATCAATTCTTTGGTACTCAGCCTTCTTTATAGTCCAATTCTCACATCGGTACATAACTACTGGAAAAACCATAGCTTTGACTATATAGACCTATCTCCAAAAGATCACTTAAGCTAAGATTTTATGTTTCAACTACTTTAGAGGTACAGGGCTTCCCAGGTGGCTCAGTGGTAAAGGATCCACCTGCCAATGCAGGAGGCATGGGTTCGATCCCTGATCTGGGAAGATCCCCTGGAAAAGGAAATGGCAACACACTCCAGTATTCTTTCCTGAGAACCCCATGGATAGGAGAGCCTGGAGAGCTACAGTCCATGGGGGTTGCAAAGTGTCAGATACAACTTAGCAACTGAACAACAAAACTATTTGTACCAAATGCATTTCCTGTGATTGGCCCACCCTCTTTATAGACTGGGTGATTTATCTTATAGAAATGGGCATATACCCTAATCAGGAAACCTTGATAAGCCATTCGTCCAACCCCACCCACAGGGAGGAACTGCCACATAAAGAGGAATCACAAACTTCCAGCATACAGAAAGACCACCCCAAACACAGCGATCTAAACAAGATGAAAAGGCAGAGAAGTATTGAGCAGGTAAAGGAACATGATAAATGCCAACCAAACCAAAAAAGAGGAGGAAATAGGGAGTCTAACTGAAAAAGAATTCAGAATTATGATAGTAAAAATGATCCAAAATCTTGAAAACAAAATGGAGTTACAGATAAATAGTCTGGAGACAAGGATTGAGAAGATGAAAGAAATGTTTAACAAGGATCTAGAAGAAATAAAAAAGAGTCAATATATAATGAATAATGCAATAACTGAGATCAAAAACACTCTGGAGGGAACCAACAGTAGTATAATAGAGGCAGAAGATAGGATAACTGAGGTGGAAGATAGAATGGTGGAAATAAATGAAGCAGAGAGTAAAAAAGAATGAAAAGAAATGAGGACAACCTCAGAGACTTCTGGTACAATGTTAAATGCCCCAACATTCGAATCATAGGAGTCCCAGAAGAAGAAGACAAAAAGAAAGGCCATGAGAAAATACTTGAGGAGGTAATAGTTGAAAACTTCTCTAAAATGGGGAAGGAAATAGCCACCCAAGTCCAAGAAACCCAGAGAGTCCCAAAAGGATAAACCTAAGGCAAAATACCCCAAGACACATAGTAATCAAATCAACAAAGATCAAACACAAAGAACAAATATTAAAAGCAGCAAGGGAAAAAGAACAAATAACACACAAGGGGATTCCCATAAGGATAACAGCTGATCTTTCAATAGAAACTCTTCAGGCCAGAAGGGAATGGCAGGACATACTTGGGGTGATGAAAGAGAAAAACCTACAACGCAGATAACTGTACCCAGCAAGGATCTCATTCAAATATGAAGGAGAAATCAAAAGCTTTACAGACAAGCAAAAGCTGAGAGAATTCAGCACCACCAAACCAGCTCTTCAACAAATGCTAAAGGATCTTCTCTAGACAGGAAACACGGAAAAGGTTTATAAACTCGAACCCAAAACAACAAAGTAAATGGCAATGGGATCATACCTATCAACAATTACCCTAAATGTAAATGGGTTGAATGCCCCAACCAAAAGACAAAGACTGGCTGAATGAATACAAAAATAAGACCCCTATATACGCTGTCTACAAGAGACCCACCTCAAAACAAGGGACACATACAGATTGAAAGTGAAGGGCTGGAAAAAGATATTTCATGTAAATGGAGACCAAAAGAAAGCAGGAGTAGCAATACTCATATCAGATAAAATAGACTTTGAAATAAAGGCCATGAAAAGAACAAAGAAGGACACTACAGAATGATCCAAGGATCAATCCAAGAAGAAGATATAACAATTATAAATATCTATGCACCCAACATAGGAGCACTGCAGTATGTAAGACAAATGATCACAAGTATGAAAGGAGAAATTAACAGTAACACAAAAATAGGAGGAGACTTTAATACCCCACTCACACCTATGGATAAATCAACTAAACAGAAAATTAACAAGGAAACACAAACTTTAAACGATACAATGGACCAGTTAGACCTAATTGATATCTATAGGACATTTCACCCCAAAACAATGAATTTCACATTTTTCTCAAGTGCACACGGAACCTTCTCCAGGATAGATCACATCCTGGGTCATAAATCTAGCTTTGGTAAATTCAAAAAAATTGAAATCATTTCAAGCATCTTTTCTGGTCACAATACAGTAAGATTAGATGTCAACTTCAGGGAAAAAAAACTATTAAAAATACAAACATATGGAGGCTAAACAACATGCTTCTGAATAACCAACAAATCACAGAAGAAATAAAAAAAGAAATCAAAATATGCATAGAAACGAATGAAAATGAAAACACAACAACCCAAAACCTATGGGATTCAGTAAAAGTAGTGCTAAGGGGAAGGTTCATAGCAATACAAGCTTACCTCAAGAAATAAGTGAAAAATCAAATAAATAACCTAACTCTACACCTAAAGCAACTAGAAAAAGAAGAGATGAAGAGCTCCAGGGTTAGTAGAAGGAAAGAAATCATACAAAATTAGTGCAGAAATAAATGAAAAAGAAACAAAAAGGGCCAGAGCCAAAATCAAGAAAGCTGAAAGCTGGTTCTTTGAGAAGAAAAATAAAATAGACAAACCATTAGCCAGACTCATCAGGAAAAAAAGGGAGAAGAATCAAATCAACAAAATTAGAAATGAAAATGGAGAAATCACAACAGACAACACAGAAATACAAAGGATCATAAGAGACTACTATCAGCAACTATATGCCAATAAAATGGACAATTTGGAAGAAATGGACAAATTCTTAGAAAACTATAACTTTCCAAAACTGAACCAGGAAGAAATAGAAAATCTTAACAGACTCATCACAAGCACAGAAATCAAAACTGTAATCAGAAATCTTCCAACAAACAAAAGCCCAGGACCAGATGGCTTCACAACTGAATTCTACCGAAAATTTAGAGAAGAGCTAACACCTATCTTACTCAAACTCTTCCAGAAAATTGAAGACGAAGGTAAACTTCCAAACTCATTCTATGAGGCCACCATCACCCTAATTCCAAAACCAGACAAAGATGCTTCAAAAAAAGAAAACTACAGGCCAATATCACTGATGAACATAGATGCAAAAATCCTTAACAAAATTCTAGCAAAAGAATCCAACAACACGTTAAAAAGATCATACATCATGACCAAGTGGGCTTTATCTGGGGATGCAAAGTTTTTTCAATATTTGCAATTCAATCAATGTAATACACCACATTAACAAATTGAAAGATAAAAGCCATATGATGCAGAGAAAGCCTTTGACAAAATTCAACATCCATTTATGATAAAAACCCTACAGAAAGCAGGCATAGAGGAACATACCTCAACATAATAAAAGCCATATATGATAAACACACAGCAAACATTATCCTCAATGGTGAAAAATTGAAAGCATTTCCCCTAAAGTCAGGAATAAGACAAGGGTGCCCACTCTCACTACTACTATTCCACATACTTTTGGAAGTTTTGGCCACAGCAATCAGAGCAGAAAAAGAAATAAAAGGAATCCAGATTGGAAAAGAAGTAAAACTCTCACTGTTTGCAGATGACATGATCCTCTATATAGAAAACCCTAAAGACTCCACCAGAAAATTACTAGAGCTAATCAATGAATATAGTAAAGTTGCAGGATATAAAATTAACACACAGAAATCCCTTGCATTCCTATACACTAACAATGAGAAAACAGAGGAATTAAGGAAACAAGTCCATTCACCATTGCAACAAAAAGAATAAAACGCTTAGGAATAAATATACCTCAAGAAAAAAAGACCTATATATAGAAAACTATAAAACACTGATGAAATCAAAGATGACACAAATAGATGGAGAATTATACCATATTCATGGATTAGAAGAATCAATTTGGTGAAAATGAGTATAATACCCAAAGCAATCTGTAGATTCAATGCAATCCCTATCAAGCTACCAATGGTATTTTTCAGAGAACTAGAACAAATAATTTCACAATTTGTATGGAAATACAAAAAACCTCAAATAGCCAAAGCAATCTGGAGAAAGAAAAATGGAACTGGAGGAATCAATCTGCCTGACTTCAGACTATACTACAAAGCCACAGTCATCAAGAGAGTGTGGTACTGGCACAAAGACAGACA